GGGGGGGGGGGGGGGGGAATAGCCGGGACCACCACACCGAACGACATGACCACAAGGGGATAGTTTCACTGTGTGTACATCCAGGTGTTGTGACATTAGGGCTAGGGTTAGGGTTAGCTCTTTGCACGAAGGTATTGAATGCATGTTACGAATGTCCACAAAAATACGAAAGGATGTGCGTGTTGCGAGGTGTGCGGCTTGAGCCGCAAACGTGGCCATGAGGTGTCGGGGGGGGGATTCGAGAAAAAAAAAAAAAAACTCTAGACCGCAGGACAACGACATCCCCGCAAACCTTCTCCGCCGTGCACGTAGGCCAGCCGCCACTGGCACCCCTTTTCCCCACCGGCACCACAACTAACCCTCACTACTATTTAACTTCTTCAGCAGTCGTTCCCAAAACGAGGACCATCATCATCTCACCATATAGCCGTTCGCCAAAAAGGGAGGACAAGCATCATCTCACCAAATAGTCGCTCGCCAAAAAGGAGGACCTTCATCATGTCACCAAATAGCCGTTCGCCAAAAAGGGAGGACAAGCATCACCTCACCAAATAGTCGCTCGCCAAAAAGGAAGACCTTCATCATCTCACCAAATAGCCGCTCGCAAAAAGGGAGGACAAGCTTCATCATCTCACTTCATGTCATGTCATGTCATGTCATATCATCTCACCGATCCCGGGACGATCTCCTTCGGCTGGGCGACGACCGGGAGCTGGAGGCGGACCTCGACCTCCTCCTCCTCGCCGCAGCGCGCCGGCGCGCCCGCTCGATCTCCCGCTCCCTGTCCCTCTCCCGCTCCCGCGCTCGTTCCGCCTCTAGCTCCTTCTCGCGCTCCTGTTTCTTCTGCGATACACAGGGCGGGGTAGGGGGGGGGGGGTACTCAAAGCCGTGCATGCCGTAGTCCTTAGACCATCGACCTCGCATCCCTGCAAAGCCAGGATGAGGCACGCCCGGTTTTCACCGGACTAAGTTCTGGGGCGGGAGCGGGGGGGGAGTGGGGCAAAGATAAGCGGGCATGTTCATGTGCAGGGGGAAAAGAGACAGAAAACAAAAGGAAGGGGTGGGTGGAGAAGCAATGATCATCGGGCATGCAGAGGTGGAGTGGGGCAACGAGACACACACAACAGGTAGGGGTGCGAGGTGATCAAAGACAAGCGGGTATGGAGATGTTAAGGGGTGGAAAGAGACAAAAACAAGGAAGATAAAAACTTCTTCCACACATCTACCTCTCTGCCGGATGACCAAAAGAAGACATGTAGCGCACGTTGACCCTGCGTACCGCACACAGAAAAACATCAGTCGCTCTCCCTCGACACTAACGTGACAGCGGGAAGAGCCAGAGCCACATGCACACGCACACACACAGCAGAGGCTTCGTCGGCTGCAATAGCTCTTTCGACAAATACGGAACCGGCCAAAACAAAAAAGCGCTTGATACAGTACGCACCGCATTCTCGCAGAAACCATAAAAAAAAAGAAGGTGCACGTGAGCACCACGCCCCCCCCCCCCCCCCCCCCCCCCCCCCCCCCCCCCCCCCCCCCCCCCCCCC